AAAAAAAAAGAAATTCCTTCTTCCTGAGATGGCAATTTTCAGAAATAAATGCACCTATGGAAACACAAGCTTGTAGGACACAAACAGTAATTCTGGAGATATTTTACATGGAAAAGTCCTGCCAGCAGAAAATGAAAACTTGTGGAGCGCTCCCCACCTGTACTTTTACAGGGGTGAACAGGCCTATAAAGGAAAAACAGCTTTTCTGCCGTTCCCCAGTCCTCTATAAATACCAAGCCAGATTCTGCCCTTGCAAACAGGAGGCTCCTTTCTATTAAAGTTTGCAAGGGAGCACTTTTTTGGCATTTACCTTTTTGACAGGACATGTGCTGGTGGTTTGGTTTTCTTTTACAATGCCTGTTACACTCCTGACCTTTACATGGATCCGTCTCACACCACATTTAAGATGTTACCCCTCTCAGTCAGGTGAGTGATAAAACGGAAGCCAGGCTTTACCCTGGGTTTTTTTATTCAACTGCACCGTGGGAAATGGGGAGGAGAGGGCTCAGCAAGGCAGGTGCAGAGCCAGCCCTCCCTCCTGCCACAGGGTGATGCCTCTGCCCCACCTGGGCCAGCCCTGCCATCCGACGCCTTCTCCTCACACTGAGGGACGTGGTGACAGCACTGGCACCTTCCTCTGGCACCAGCAAGGAATTTAACCAACCCTCTGCGAAAAAACAGGAAGGGTGAAATCCTGACATCCTGCCTATTGATGGGAAAATGCCCAACGTCTCCATTTCACCTGCATGCCTACGACATCCTGGTCCGACTCCCGGTTCCCCAGGGAACTCAGTCGGACAACGCTACACGGAAGAGTATCCAGCTCCTTCCCTGTCCACCACAGCCAAACTCCTAACAGTGAGTTCTGCCCCAACAGCCCCTGTCCCACCCACTGACCACCCAACCTAACACTGGTATCAGGCCTGTGACACCTTCAGAGCCTCCTGAATCCAACTGCACCAAACCACACCGAGTTACACCTTCTGAACAGTCAGGGAGCACTAAGCAAAATAATACTGGGTTTTTTATGAACACAGTACTTAAAATGCCCTCATTTAAGTAATTTACTATTAATTTGCAGCCCATTAGCTGCCCTAAGAGAGTAAGTCACTCGATGGAGAAGAGCCAGTCTGGTTTTACACCAGGGACACAAAGAGAACTGGGGTCCTGTTTGTCCATTAGTACTATCTCCTATGAAATGGGAATTTTCACTTGCTCTTTTTCCTACTTAGGCAAACTTAACTTATTTAAGGTAATCTCAGCAAGAAGTGTTGAGCTGCTATAAAATCTTGGACATAAATTCTCAGTAATTTTAATACATCTTAAATACTTATATAACGCTTAAAAATATTTATATGATGCCATAAATATTTATAGCACATAAATACTATTAAATACTTCAATACTTAGATCCAACACTTCCTTTGGAAACTGAAACTAGAACAGGGTGTTTTTCTGCACTTTCCACCCATGCAGTAGCATTATGTTTGTGCATCTGTAACCATATGTGCCATCAGCTGCTCTTCCCAGTTCTCCAGAACTCCCATATTTCAGAATATATTCTATATAACTTAGGACATAACAACTTAGGACTTGATTGGCACAAAGGAAGCAAGTGGTGGCAGATTATTGGGGTGTTTTGCCCAAGAATTCAGAGGAACCTGAACAAGAGACAGGAGCTCGTGGGTTGTGTGCTTAAAATACAAGATGTGTATAGTGTGTCATCATTACCAAAATGAAAGAGCCCACTGTCAGCAAGGGGTTCAAATTTGCAAATACCGCAGAGCTTCTCATTTCAGGTATAAGATTCAACCCATATTTTTAGCAAAATCTCCTTCGGAAAGGAGGAGAAAGACAAAATGAGGTTGTGGTGCCAGTGGAGAAAAGCAACGTAATTTGCATGCAGATCCTCTTCCTGTACCACACACACATTGCAGTTGCTACACCATTTTAGGGACACCCTCCTACACGTTTGTTATTCAGGAGTGTGGCCTGGGAACAAGAGAGCAGCCCTCACATGGCCCATCTTTGGGTATGGACGAGAAGGGATCCTACCCAGTCACTGCACACACTACAGCCCACAACAGCTGCCTAAAAGAGACGGAGCACTTGCATCGTGAGACCTGAAAAAAACCACTGGGTGGAATCTTTTATCTCTTTTATAGCGAGTCCTTAAATACAATAAAATCACTTGACAACGGGGATGCTCAGTTTTGCTGGCCCTACTTTTGAATCTGCACTGAGCCCTGGCAGTCATTGCTGACCCCCTACTCGCCCAGAGCACGGGAGTGCTGAAGAAGACACGAGTAGCTGCAAATGTTGGTAGCTACGCTGCGGTTTCGGAGCGACACGGTTCTAAAAGATACATGGAGTTCGAATCTGGCTTCCTCTATAATCAAAACATGTTGTTTCATCTGCAAAACATCAAGAAGCTCAGAACAATGCTTACGCTTTTCCACCACAATGGCCCAGTAAAAACTGTGTGTTTTAGGAAATCCAAAAATGACTAAGACTGCATTCATTTCTCTGCACCTGCTTTGAAGCATCAACAGGCTTGTTTACAACATTAAAATTCCCAAAATACTTACTTGTGGATGAAACAAGAATCCCGGGGAAGGTCTCAAGTATTTCTCTTTTAAAGCTTCCAGTGGGTCAGTTAACTTTCTTTTTTCTACTCTGTAAATGTTAAAATTAGATTTGCTTGTGATGAATCAGTCTCAGACAACAGTAATCATACAGCTACTCATGTTTAAAATAGGCAATTATGCATCAAGTTAATTTTTTTCTTAGAGATAGTGGTACAAGGAAGGACAGTGAATACCCAGGTACAGCCCATTATTGAGGTGGGGGCTGTGAATTGTCATTAAAGGGAGATGATACCATTTATATACAGAATAATCCTATAAAAATAGGGAATAACCCATTTCAAAAGATTGGTAATAATTATAGAAGGAATCAATGATTAATTACTGAGCACTTTTACAAAGAAATAAGACAACAGAGAGTGCTCTCAACTCAGAGGAGTTCAAGGCAACAGAGCCTTGAGCAATGGGTCCCTTCTTGCCTGCCCAGGCAGGACGTCACAGCCACCACCCTGGAAACCCCTCGTGTGCAGGAGGGAGAAATCTGAAATGCCAGCAGCAAAGACTGCAATCTACTCATGGGCATTCAGGCAGCAAAACTCAGCGTGAGTTATTCAGAAACAGCGTGGAAATTTGGGGCTTTTGCTTTTTTTGTTACTGATGTGTATGGTTTAAGGGACAGACCCTGTTGTCCACATGCAGGTGTAACTCACGGCAAAGGAAGGCTCAGCAACAACTGGCCTCGTGCTACACTGCCAGAATTTGTACAGATTTCATTAAAATCACAGAATGGTTTGGGTTGGAAGGAACCTTAAGGATCATCTAGGTCCAACCCCCCTGCTGCGGGCAGGGGAGTTTGTAATGCAATTTAATTAGTTTGTAACGCAGGGCCATAAAGGACAGATCATTATTTCCGCTGCTTCAGGCCGTTTAAATGAATATGACGCAAAGAAAAGCTATGGTCTAATACAGATATCAATCTGGCATGAAATAAAACCATCTCACTAAATAGCGTCATATCCTGTTTCTTCATAATGCAGACTTGCTGTCTTATGAACCAGCATTCTGCAAGAACTTTGCCCACAGCATTCCCTTTTCAGATAAAGTAATAAATTAACATAATTTACATGGCAATAACCTTATTTTTTTTAACAATAGGCTGTAAAATCAGTCATTTATATTACAGACAAATATTTTTATGGCTAATATTTCTCTAAACTAATTTAGATGCATGACTTTGGTTGGTTACAGAAAGGGCAAGGGGGCTGATGTACAGAGGACACAGGTGAAACTGAGATCCCAGTGAGATCCATCCAGGCTCTACTGGGAAACACCAGGAGGTCTGGATTTTCCCACTGTTTTTTAAAACCTCAGCTCACTGACAGCATCTGCTTGTTCACATGTCAAAGTCAACAATGAGGCTCCCACTGATCTCAGGTAGATCCATGGCAGATCATTCCAGATAGATCATGGATGGGGCTCTGAGAAACCTGGTCTAGTGGAAAGTGTTTTTGCCCACGGCAGGGGTTTGGAAGGAGATGATCTTTAAGCTCCCTTTCAACCCAAGCCTTTCTGTGATGACTCTATGATTAAGCAGCCCACAGGGGAGGCTTTATACACACAAGGATGCTGTGCCTTCAATTCCATGAATGAAATGCCTGAAGAAATGAACCCACAACTCAAATAATGGTAAAAAAGGGGCAGAAATCACTCTCAATTTCCATGTTTTTAACACACCTGAGGACCAGTACTTATGAGATACTCCCACTGAATTCAAGAGGAACTAGCAAGGTGGAGTACAACAGGCACCCTGGGGAGATGCACTGTCAAATCCAGGGGCAGCCAGTGATGTCAAATACACAGCAAATATACAAACATTCAATACTGATACCAATTCATTTATGGGTAAGAGAATATATTCAGCTTCTGCACGTCAAGCTGTGCAGGTTAAACTAATGACTCTCGGCAATGAGGGCAGTCGTGAAGACTTGTTAATGGCAGCATTACCAGCCCTGGGGCTGGGTGGGAACAGCTGGGATGTGAGGTGGGATAAGCAGGTCAAAATGCAACCTGGACCCCCTGCCAGGCCCCCACAGTGGGATGGTGCCTCCAGGGACACTGGGAGGGGGCCGGGGCTGTGGCCCTGGCAGGCCTGGCTGCCTGTCCCAAAGGATGCTGAAAGGCAGCTGACAGCCCATTACCTGTAAATGGGATCCATAAAGAACGGGGTGGGCCTGGCGTGCTGCAAGGAGGACTCCGAAGCTTTCCTCTGCTCGAGGTCTCCTCCCTTCTTCTCTCCAAAGACGTGGTTCTTCCGAGGCTCGGCTTGTTTCGTGCTGCTGGCTCGACTTCGGCTGCCCATGCTGAGATCCAGAGGCTGGTCCTGGCTGGCTGCACAGGGGGCTGCTGGCTTTGAGGGAATGGGAGTAAGTGGCTTCTCCTCCTTACGCTTTATGGTGAGGTCAAAGGGAGACTCAGAGCTTCCCTTTGGGATCTTCTTTATTTCACTGGGTGATTGGGGCTCCACTTTCAAGGGTAACGGTCTCAAGTCTCTATCAGGAAATGGATACATTGATTGAGAGAATGCTGGAAAAAACGGGAGGGGAAACATGGAAGGGTAAGGTAAGGCTCCGACTTTTTTGTCTTGCAGCCCCACAAGTCCTGTTGAACCAAAGTACTTTTCAGCAATAGAAGCAATAGCCTTTATAGAATCATTCACCGCTCCTGACACCGCAGTCTGCTCCTCTAAGGATGGTGAGAAAATGGAATGATTGCTGTGGTCTTTCTTATTATTTATTGACGCCAGGCTCTGCAGAGAGCTTACTTTGTCTTTGAACACTTTACCATTTTCTTTAAATTTCTCTTTCTCACTTTCAATGTCACTTTCCAGATCAGAGCCCGAGGTGGTTTCCAGGTCACTGCCACTGGGGGTACTGACATCGTCAAGGTCAAGGTCACTACTCTCTGACTGGTCACTGAGTTTCTCATGCGGCCTCTCTTCAGAGGACCCTTCTGGTTGAAGCTCCACTGGCTTATTCTCCCCTACTGGTGGTTGTTTATTTAGTGCCTTCAAAATATCCTGGGTGGCTGGCAGTATCTGAGGATTTGTCATGAGGGGACTTTGGCTTTTGTTTGTCTGATCTGCGCTCGGAAGTCCTTTAACAGGAGAACTAGTAGGTAGCAAAGGTGGCCTGTGGTACAAGCCTGAAGGAAACAGACCGGGGAAGCTAAAAGAAAATCCAGGAGCTGTTGGAAAGGTAAGACCAGCAGGATGCCTATTGGCTCCAAAATAGTCAGCAAGGCCCGGATTTGCATGATTCATATTAACCATGGACGTTTTATCCATAGCTGGGGTTCCAGGAAGAGAAATGCCTTGGCCAAAAAATCCTCCTGCTGCAAAATGGTTCTTGCCCTCACAAAATCTCCTGTGTTTATTTAAGGAAGACGTAGTGCTGAACATTTGTCCACAGTCTTTGCACTTGATTTGGGTTCTGCAATCAGCATGCATGCGCTTATGACGACAAAGGTTTGAAAACTGAGTATAGGATTTATGGCAGACCTCACCTGTATGTAAACAACAACAACAACAACACATCTCAGGCTTTATGGTAATTGCCCCCACCCCCAAAACTGTGCAAATAACACCATTTTTTTTTTTACCCGCCAAATGCCAATGAGGAAGCCGCAGGGAGAAGTCTGGGTGCACAAACATACAAAAGCTATTGTGCTCTCCAAAGCAAGGCAGACAAACATCTGAAGACGGCATCAAAACCCACTCCAACAACCCAGAAAAGGGCCTGGAATCACTAAAAGACACACTCTCCTTGTCTGCTCTTTGCTTTGCACGGTGTTGCACAGTCAGTACCGTTGGTCCAAGTCGCATCAGCCCCCCCAGAGCCCCACCGAGAGCCACGGTGCCGTGACCCTGTATGAACCCACAGAGCTCCTGTGTGAGAGCACAGGTGTCTTCGAATGACATCCACCCATGTCACTATTCCCATGTGGAAATTAGTCATTAAAACAAATATTTGCAGGACCAGACAGAGATGGAGCTGCCTCACAGAGCTTTCAGCCTGTAAGACCACAAGGATAGGAAAGAGGTGAAGGAGGAGATAACCAGGTATAATCTTGGTAACAAACAACACTTTTTTCCACTTACAATTAAAATTTTTATCTCATAGAAGTCCAGGCTAGAGTCTGAGTAACCTCAGCCTAGTACTCTCATGTGTCCAAAGCATTTCTATTTGTGTAATGCATAGTCCTTACAGGTGCCTGTGATGCTGTAACTCTAAATTCCACATCTTAATAACTTTACTAGTCTTAATATTGCTTACTTGCCCCTAGCACATGATTAAATACACTATATTTAAAAAAAAAAAAAATCTATTTAAGAATGGAGCTGCATTTATTTGCACGTCTGCTGCTCAGTAAGAGCCCAACGGATTTCCTTTCAGACTTCTCTGGGATGAGAAATAGTTTCAGCCTCACAAAAGCAGAACTTTTGTGGAGTTCCTGGCTGCTACAAATCTTAGGGTGCAAATTAGAACAACAACCAAGTTATACATTACAGCAGGGTTTGGAAGAGGGTAATGCTCAGCTCCCCAGTGCCTCTTTATGTCCCCTTTTAGTATCCTTTGGATGAGCAGGATAACTGGGCAAGTCTGAGTCTTGTGCTCTTCATTATGCTAAAATTTGCCTGTACCTCTGCACTACCTTGCTTCTAGCAGTTGTTTAAAAACAAGGCAGCAGCATTATCAGCAGTGTTATCCCTCTGTAATAAATCCTTTTTTCTTTTTCTTTTTTCCAGCCAGGAAAAAGCATGTGGCCACTTTATTTTTATTTAATTTGTGTTATATCATAAACTCTCATCTTTCACACATCAAAGCCGCGCAACAATACACATTGTGTATTCTGAGGGCTTTTTAACAATCATTTTCATGATTTGAGACGGTCTGACATAATTTACAATGGCTCTATTTTAAGCCTGCAAAGGAAACTGAATTGAATGTATCCCATCCTGCACTCTTGGTTCCCATGAACTGCAATCACGTCCTCTAACTTCCACTCGCACCGGGGCCCGCACTAACCTTCCTGCTCCTCCGAATCTCTGCCCTTGAGAAACTTGACCACTTGTTGTCATCCCTCAACTGTTTACCTCTTCAGGAGGCTGCTTCATATCTCAGCAACAATGCTCCTATTGTTCCAGGGCCTGATCCTGCCCCATCCACCCCACTCACATCCCATGGACATCCCCGGGACGATTCGTGGGGGCAGAGCGTGCAGGATTGGGCCCAAACACAGGAAATTTGCAATGCGGTAATTCAGGAAGAATGTTTGGTGCTGTGTATCAGTTAACTGTTCCTGCTGGAAATCTTCATTCACAAGGAGAGACCAGAAAGAAAACAGAGAGAAAATCAAAAATATAAGGAAAAATTAAGAGAAGAAAAAATATGGACGGGAAACAAAAAAGAGAGACACGAAGGATGAGGAGAGATTATTCTAGTTCCTTGAAAATGCTTGTTTTTCTCTTAAGTACTTTCTGCTCCTTTTAAAAAATATGTTAATTTTTTATTTGCCTATTTAACATAAAAATATTTTTATTTAATATATTTATTAATATACCTTAATATATTTATTATTATTTATTGGTGGGTTTTTGCAGTATGAAGCTCTGATTTTTCTGCTGTTTTCTCCTATTTTTTAACCTAATTGCAGGCATAAAAATTTCTGCTCCCACCTTCACTGTTGAGGTTTTGCACAGTAAGCTCCCCCTGCTCCCATCCTATTGCTTACAGTTACCAAAATTAAACCGACCCAAATGGTGACATGAGTGTCGTATTCATAATTTTGCACAAGCTTCATCTTGCATATTATGAATCAACTCCTCTCCATGTGTAAAGCAGAAGAGACCATATATATTTTTCCAGACAAAAGTATCTCAAATGCATGCATTTTCAAGGCTAGGCTAAGGCAGAATTAAAAATAAATCATGTTTTATGAATCTTTAATCTTCTACTAGGTTGTGTTGAGGGTCTGCTTCTTACTGACATGGTTTTATTTAAGACAAGGCTTTGCTCAGGTAGGCTGGAGTGGCAAGGGGGTGAAAAGGGGAGTATTGGCACAGATTTAGTCTTCCCAAAGTCTGGGAAGTTCTGCCTTAAATTATTATTATATAGTGTATATATTATATATCATATATATACTATATATATATATAGTGTATATATAGTATATATATTATATATAGTGTGTGTGTGTATATATAAAAAGTATTAAATTATTATTCTCCGGTAATATATTCCAAAGTCAACAGAATCAAGAAATACTCAGTTCTGGAGAAAAGCAAAAATATGCACTTAGAATTGAGAGATATCCTTACAGACTATTAAGGGAGATGATACAAATTCAGCACTTCACTAAATGTATTTTCTCAGTTTTAAAGTTAAACTAAATCAATAATGGCAATACCATGAAAATATGTAAATATTTATCATTACAATCTCAATCAAACAATCAACAGCTGTACCCAGGATTTCACATTTCTGTGCACTGAAGTTATTTGAAACTATTTAATGAGGTGCTGCTTGCTCAAGGTGCCCTTTGCATTTAACGGGCATTCTGTTTAACCCATGGGCTAAAAAAAAAGGTTGGCAAAGAAATTCTGGGCCCAGTTTGAAGCCCTGACTCCCTGGAGCAGTTTTACTCTCAGGGACTGTCACCTGAAGCCTGGGTGATCCCAGCATCAGTGACAGGCACACCCAATGCCCCGCAGATTTTGGAGGAGACTCTGTCTAAACGGACTGTGCCACCTCCATGGATATTCCAGGGAGCCAGGACTCCTCAGTCTGTGTTATAAGATCCACCTCCTTTTCATCACATGACAAACTTCAGTAGACGGAGGATGGTTACCAACTTTGATTGCTTCCATGAAGCAAAGCAGCAGAAGCTGGGTTTGATTTCACCTATTACACCTTACTGCACCCTTTAAATCTCAGTGCCATACTTTTAAGCAACTAACATGCAAGGGAAGCTTCCCCTCTTGCAGCTTTTATTGCTCTCCAGACCCCAGGTTTAACACAAACTCCCAATCTGGATCCCTGACTGCAAAAATTAATCTCATGCCGAAGCATGCTCTGTACCACCATCGTCTCTGGACCCCAAATTAGCCAGCCAGTGAAGTTTGCATATTTTCTGCTTATTAAAAATAATTACTGTAAGTACTATTTTGAATAAGTTCAGTCTATTATGGCATGTGGTTTCTATTTGGGGAGGCTGGAGATTTTGCGAAGGCAGTGAGTAATTACCTTGGTGTTGGTGAGTTTTCACTCAAGCTTGGGCGGTGCACTGTAATAAGAGACAGTTGCCATGAACACACTGGTGCGAGTAAATCATGGTGTGTGGCCTTCTGGTGGAAAACAGATATCTGCTCTAGGTGACCCTACCTCCCTCTCACTGCTCGGCAAAGCCGACCAAACATGTGGTCTCCAAACCCTTTTGTTCTGCGATTACGTGGCCCTTGTTTGCAGGTTGCTCAGTGGGGTTTCATCCCTCACACTGTACATGTGAAGAGTATCAGTTGCTGTTTTATCAGAATAAATAGCAACAAAGAGCATCTGAGAGACCATTTCATGTATGAGAGGTGCTACTTAGGAGACTCTTACGCAAGGTGTTGCAATAGGGCTGTCTGAAGACTCCCCACCTAACCAGAAGTTACTGTTTTCTAATTGAGTGTAATCACTTAACCTGCAATCAGCTTTAAAAATTATTAGTGATATTTAACATTGGATCTATTTATATATTTTTCCCATTGAAAGAATCCAAATCAAAAGTATTATTAACCCAGTGGCAAGCTACAGATTTTGCACAAATTAGTTGTCTAAGACAATACTCCTTTTCTAGAGAAATTAGATGAGCTTGTGACCAATGGTTTTTCCAGCTGTGGTGCCAGTATTTAGGTAAATTATTGCTGAGAGCAGCAAAAGATTAAGAGATCAAGAGGACAAGTAGGGGATGTGGTCACAAGGTACCTTTCAAGCCACAGCAGGTGCCTCAAAAGGCTGTGGTGGAGATTAGCAGTACCAAGAACAATTTTTAAAAATATTTTCTGCCTGTGCTTCCCCAGTGAAAGACAGCAACCTGCACCCTTATCAAACAGGGTCTGTTCAAACAACCCATGAGACACTGAGGATCTGATTTAAGCCCAGTACAGAGTCAGGCTCCCATCCAAGGCAAGTTTTATTGCTGGAGCAGCTGTTGGGAAACATCTAATAGCTCAGCTCTGTACTTAAACTTGGGGCATGCAAAGGAGCCTCGAGCAGGGCAGCAAACTGCTCCGACTCAAACTCACTGCCTTCTGAGGTTTGTTTCCCAACTCCAGCAAAAGTCATGGCATCTGCTGTGGAGACTGTGGTGCAAAATAAACTCCCAAAGCAGGAAGGAGAGCAGCCAGCTCAGCACGGTGCAAAGCAATGAGGCTGCGCAAGGCTGGCACGGCTCCTTCTTGCTGAATCTCACTCCTAGGTTTGCATGCTGTGCATGGAAAAACATCCCAGGGACAACAGGTACATTTATACAACGCACAGTCTCTGCCTGAAAAGGAAAAATCACGTGAAAACAACTCTTCGCATTGGATCACAAATTACCCAGAACTCATTCAACTGCTCACAACCCGCACGACACTGGTGGGCAAGGCAGAGGGAGCAGAACACAACCTCCTGCTTCCAGCTCGCTCTGCTTTGCAGCAAAAGAAACACTTAAACAAACACGTTTAGTTGAAGACTTACATATAAAAGGTTTGACACTGCTGTGGATGTGTTTATGCTGTTTGAGGCCTGAAGAAGTGGCAAAGGTTTTGCCACACTCTGGACAAGCGTGAGCACGAGCCCCAACATGCTGGGAACGAATGTGCCTCTGAAGGTTGCTGGGGTCCGTGAAAACCTGCTAGGAAATGAGTACTGATTAACCAAGAAACTTGACTGTGGAAGAAGCCAGTTATTACAAGAGTCTTTAAAAAAAATTCAAACCTTGGAGCTATTTTTGGGGAGTACTTAAGATTAAAAACCTCACTAATGGGCATCAGAGCGAGCTGTGCCTGCAGGATGGGGCCTCAGTTTCCCAGGATCAGCCAAGTATTGGGTGGATCTGTTAACCCCTTTGCATTCAAATGCATTTGACTTGCCATTAGACATTCCACATTTGAGCTCAGGGACTTCGTGGAAAACGTGTCAAAATGTGGCTGCTTGAAACCTCTAAGTATGACTGCAATAGAAATACTTTATACCAACAATGGAGTGTGTGACAGCAAGAAATCCTGTACACAATTCAGTGCCAGAAACCAGGGCTTGGTTGCATCTTGTAAGCTCAACATAAATTCCCATTACTGCAGCAAATCCACCTAAAACCAACTAGATTCTTATGCAGAAGGCCCGAGCTTTGGGAATCTGATAAAAAGCAATGCAGAGCACCACACCCTATACAAATAATCCACACAGCAAGCCCAGTGCAGGGAAGTGACAGGAGATGCTCTAGAGGTGATCTGTGCTCATTTAGTGCAGCTGGCGCCCATTGCCATTTCTGATTTTGCTTTATATTGCAGAAGTGTCCTAAAATTTCTGGTACCCCAGGCACACAGCCTTGGGTACTCTCCACTCTTCATTTCACTGGGGTTTCTTGCCCCTCAGTGTCTCTCAGGGACCTTCTTACACCCCCACCAATCCTCTCAGGCTGCCAAGCCCTGAGCTTGAGGGTGCTCAGCATCCTGCATCAGCGCTCACAGCCATTACCAAATCAAAAAAGGGGTAGGAAAAATAACATATTTACAAAGTAGAAGTGTAAACCCTTCAAAAACCATCTGGAGCACGGAGCAGAAACCCTACACCCTCCTGCATGCCAGCCCAAGGCACCCCCACTTCCACGCTCCCGTGCATCCAGCAGCACAAGAAGTGCCAGGCAGCCTCCAAATTCACTGTACCTTGGCACAGTTCTCACACTCGTAGTGCTTCCCGCTGTCGTGAGACATTTGGTGACGTATCAAGTTGGACTTCCAGTTGAAGGCTTTGGGGCACTGGTCACACTTGTACTCCCTCTCCTCGCTGTGTGACAGCATGTGCTTCTCCAGGCTGTGGAAACAGGAACAGGGCTCAGCAAGGTCTGTCACACACATGGGCTTATCAGTGGTTTATAGGAAGAGGAGAGAGCAGAGTGCATAGTTAGAGCAAAAAAAAAACCAAAAAAAACCCAAAAAAACCCAATAGCCCCAAAGGCCCAATGCTGACAGAAACAAGTTTTTGAAAACCAGGCTCACCCCAGCCAGGAGGCAGAAACTCCTCCTCCTCCTCCCTACCAGAATAACACATCCTCTCATGTTTTGCCAGGCCACTTGTAAATGCTCCAGGAGATGCTGCTGCCATCTCTCCCTAAGGAGATTATTTCATGCACCTCTCAGTATTTCACTCTGGTAATTCTTCCCTGCAGTCTGAATTATTTCTACCTTATGACTTTCCCTCTAAACACACCTTGGATCCCACCACCTGCCATAAATCCGCTCCTTTGATGGGAGTCAATTTTTCTTACAGCAGGAATAGATGAGGAATAACACCTCTGGAGTAAGATAGGAGGAGTTTAAGAAGCCTCTAGATATGATACATTACAAATGAAGTCATTCTTGATGATTACTGATAACTGTGTTCAACTGTGCAGTTGTTTAGTAATAAATTTCTTAGTGGTTTATTCAGTAGGATATTCGATGTCCACCTAATTTCTGTTGCACATCTTTGAATTAATTTTTGTCTCTGAATTTTTATTATTCATTTGTAGTAAACATATATTTTTAAACACCTGTATTGCTTGGTCACAAACAGAGTCATAACTCACACTACTGCTTGGGGAAAGATTACTACATAATGCAAGAGTAGGTCCACAGAAAAGCCATTGGAAACTGTGATTTTTAGCCCAGGATGCCCAACTGGATCAATCTACTCTCACATGAAGTTCCCAGTGATCTCTGCAGAATCAGTGACAAAATCTACTGGGGTTACAGTCTCGTTTGGGTTGTGCAGTCCCCACAGCAACCTCCATCCTCAGCCAAAGGCAATGGAAATACTTTCACTCTGTGGATGCTCTTACTTCTACTCCTCTCCTTCCTCTGGGGGGAAAAGGTATTTCTGGCTTCTTCTCCTGATATTTTTATACCAACTGACCCTCCATCATGCACTAGTAAACAAATTTTTTGTGACACCCAGAGAGATTCTTGTCCCTGGCTCTGGCACCAGCTCCTTGACCCTGCTGCAGCTCCATAACTCCCCATCAGCACTGGGCACTCCTGGACCCAACACCCCTCCATCCTCCTGCTCAGCTATTTCTTCATGTAGTTACTTCCCCAGCCACGGCTCATTTGGGCCTTTTATTTTATATAATCTGGATATAGCACATTTTGGCTCTTTTTTGCTGTGAACTGTCTTTGTGGTGTATGAGCCTTTCAATAATTCAGGAGTTCAGAGAACGACTGCATTCCCTCTCATTTTTCACTCTTTCTCACTGTACTGCCCATCTATTTATGATGACTCGTTCTTTGTTTTCTGCCCTTTCTCTTCAATATTTAATATTTTAAGCTAAATTTACATTTCCTCAATGATTCCCATATGTTAGATATCATCCTATGGCTCTCAGGGAGAAAAGGACTTTAACACCAAATAACCTGCAAATGCAAAACCGTTATGGACAGGAGTCCTGCCTCATCCACGCTGCTGGAAATCCTTCTGACTTGATCTGCCTCCATCAGCCCCTTCAAATCCATCCCTCAGACTGAAAATCAGACAGGTGGAGCCACACTCTGTTCAACATCAGTGGGTGAACAAGACCTTTTGCCTGCACAAATTCCTGCTCAGCGGGGTTGACCTAATACATGGGGAGTGATGCTTGGCACATCGTATTTTAATTTTACTGTCACTAATTTCGTGGAAGTGAAAGGATCAGGTCAGATAATGCTGATCTGAGATGCCCCATGTGATGCTGAGCCACCTCCAGTCCATCAAGAGGAGCAAAGGAGCTCTGCTTTGGTAGAGGGGGCTCCATCTTGCAGAACAAGCACCTGGAGCCTCCAGGAGCAATTATCCAAAGGAACTAACCCTGGGCATGCAGAAATCCATGCTAAGCTCCCACAGACATCACAACATCCTGAATCATAGACTAGTGAGGGATTCTGTGAAATAAATTGACAGGTCAGCATTTAAGGGGCATGTGATTTTTAAGCAGTGCAAACAAACCCACTGCTGTCCCAAAAAGGGTAGTTCACAGTCACTTCAACTATGCCCACACAACCTGGAGAGGAAAGAAGACACTATGGAAGTGTGGGAATCCAACTGAAGCCATTAAAGAATTTTCATCTACATTTTAAGCACCTACTCCTACCTTTGTAAGTCGGGGAAGACTTGGTCACACTCTTTGCACTCCTGGATTTCGTGAACATCCTGCAGGTCGTTCTCATTCTCAAGCTTCTTCTGGAAGTCCTCCTCCACCATGGAGAAGGCGGAGTGGGGAGTGCTGCAGGGGAACTTCTGATGATCTACAAGCTCAGCCTTGGACTCGAAGAGCTGGTCACAGTCCTCGCAGCGGTACTGACGCTCCTCTGGAACACAAGAGGGGTTGGGCACGGGGAGACCACATCAGTTTTCAGCCTTTTTTAACCACCATCCCATCAGGAGCTGGATGATGGTGTGGTTAAATGAAGAGTTATTCAGTTAAAGAGAGAAGAACCTCAAAAGAAAGAAGAATTCTTAAGAATGCTTTATAATAATGCTTTAATTCTACAATCTATGGCAGCACGTTAACTGCCTGGGATCAAATAGGGATCCCTAACACAGGCTCAGGACAAAAGTCAGTGTGTTTATACACCATCCTAAATGGAACTAATTATATGAGGTCTAAGGTGGATCTCCAGGGGAGGCTAAAGGAGATGACCTAGACACAAATATCAGCATCTAAAATAGCCAAAAAGGTGTAAAAAATTTTTAAAGCCTCTTCATTTTCATGAGTCCACCCAACCCTGTTCGAGTAAGCCAGAGACACACAGAGTTGAGGTACTTGCTTTAAATTCCATAACATCAGTCATAATGTGCTCCTTACTGAAAACGAGTGTAAAAGATACTAGAGTGTTACTCTGGAGGGAATACTGCTTTCCATTAATTAGCAATTCCTGCAAAAAGAATAGATTAACTGAAGAAAATCCCAAAAAAAAACAAACTTGGAAAAGAGCATCCCGTGATTTTTTTTTTTCTGCTGGGTTTTCTACTGTTGGTCCACATGAGGAGCCAGACACCCTGGTCTGGTTCCAGATAACAATGCCCAGAGGCTCTGAGTCAGAAAGGCACTGAGGAGTCTGGCTGAAATCTCCAATGTATGTACGTGGTTGCTACTTGACAGTTGAGCTGATCCAGAGAAAGCGTCACAGGGTTCTGTTCTTGGCTGTCCACAAGCAACACTTTGGCTCAGCTTGCTTCTAAAGCAGCCCTGTGGGACATATTCCTGCATGTGACTGCAGAGATTTCCTCTGGTGTCACTTATACAATAGCTACTTGACCAAAGGGACTAGGCAGGGAAAACACTGTGCTGAAAAGGGGAACATCTTTAGCAATAACTAAACAAAGTTACCACTGGAGGAAAAAAAAACCAAAACCAAACACAAAACCAAATGGGAATGAATGAATAATCCCCACCTTTTTCTTAAGAGAACAAAAGATACTGCTTTAAATGTACAGGCAGCAAAGAAAGTGCAGACCTTGATACTTCCTGCCCCGGGAAAACCCCCGTGTACTGTCCTTGAATCCCAGAGAATTTGTAAAATGTCCCTGTTGGCATAAACTGCAAACTACTGGGCACCAAGCAGATATCCTACACCCAGTTCCCACTGTGGCTGTATAACCCGCTGCCTGACAGGCAGCACAGCAAAAGGAGCTCTTGAAGGTGGGGAACAAATCTCAGCAACGACTCAGGAGAGTCAGACCCAGAATCTGTGTGTGGGATGAGCACAAGGAGGAAGAATGGCTGAAACGTCCTCACAAGTAACAGCAACATTATCAGTCTCAGATTTTAAGAGCTGGACTCGATGATTCTTGTGGGTCCCTTCCAACTCAGAACAATCTGGGATTCTGTGGTTTTCTCTTTTCAAGGTAACAGCTGTTTGGCTAAGTGACAAAAAAATAACCTATAATCAGGGTCCATATATGTCTTGCAGGAACAGCACAGCCTTGAGATAAGGACATGAACTCCTGTTCTTCTTTTGCAATACCCACAAAACAATCACATTTCAGTCAGAAAGAGAGGGGCAGAAGATGGACAAATACAACCATGCTCCAGCTCTCCTCCTATGTTGCAGTAAAGTTATCCCAGATTTCAAAAGGATTCCAACAGAGGAGAAATCTCCTTAAATTTTGGCTTAATTTCAGTGATACTCTCTATTAGATAAAACAGTAAGAAGAGGCTAACCGTGGATGTCCGGAGCCATTGTCTCATGTGAATAATCTTCACTCTTCATGAACAGTAAGAGCTCCTCTCCTGGTTCAATATCTGCTACCACTCTGTAGAATATCTGGAAAACAAACAAAAAGAGAAAGCAACGTGAGCACCACAACAGGCAAAGAGGTATCAGCCACTGCTGGTGAGTGTTACAGACCAAAACCGTGTGGCCAGAGCCTGCCCTGTTGTAGTGCTGCTGCTGGAGAGGTGCCCACTGCCTATGGCAGGTCTGCTCCTTCCAGCCCCAAAGCTGCTGTACTTTGGGCTCTGTGAGGACAGAAAGGACAAGTGCTTTCAACAGCCCCTGCTGCAAAATGAGCTGTGTGATGACTGCAGATATCACCGGCAACTTGTGTGTTGAGTTATACCAAACCCGTGAGCAGAGGGGCCATAAAACATCCCTGAGTGATCCTTGGAAGGGGGAACTCCTGTTGCACTGGGAAAAGGTACTGAAGTAACTTTAATAGTTGGACTCGATGATCTTAGAGGTCTTTTCCAATCTTAACGATTTTGTAATTCTAAAGCAGATATGCTGACATGCTGCTGGTTAAGCCATAGACATCCATCCCCCATTCCAACCATCTCCACAGTCCAGAAAGCTGTGAGGCTTATACAAAACCAAGGAGCCTGGTTATTCCTTAGCTTCAAATGGAAATCAAAGGAAAAATCAGTCCTGGATGAAGAAACACAGTGAGCAGCCAAAGCTGATGGTGGTGACTCTGGCCAGTGACCCCTCATACAGGTGCTTCTGGGCTGTGGGAAAGAGCCCATCAGGGAGGCAGGAGGCTGTGGAGGGGGCAGAGGGGACACCCTCCCTTGGTTCCACGCACCAGAGGAAGCACACCCCAGTACCACGAGGTTCTGCTGAAAGGAAATTCCCAAAATCCATCTGGCTGCTTTCTGTCTCAGCAGGAAACGTGAAGAGCACTAAAAAGCTCCACGAAGCAGCTCAAATAAATATTAGTAACTTCCTCGGGCCTTGTTAAACAAAAACACATGACAGCTATATTTCCTATGCTACAAAGTGATGTCTTTGCATTTTCTCAGACTGATGTATTTTTAAAGGTTTTGCTCCCAAACTCTTCAACTCTCAATGCTCCTTGCAATGCGCTGGGAGAAAGGCAGAAAATCACCTGCGTTGTTCAAAGCCACACAGGTGCATCTGTCACAGGTAGGGACGGGTGTGCGAAGGTTTGTGGGTGTTTTCCTTGCCCACTTGCACATGGACCGACATCATCAGCAGCCAGCACATACCGGTGTCCTCCAGGAGGTGGCCGTATAGCCTAATCGTTCCTTTCTGCACAAGCAATGCCCACAGATAAGGGCTAAATACCTAAAAACAACGAATTAAGTTGCATTTCCTCGGATTTGGATTTTTTTTTCCCCCTTCAAAAGCCACTCTGGAGGAGGGTGCAGAGAGCAGTGGGCAGCTTGTCCCATCACCCCTCGGCAGGTGACAGAAGTGCTGACAAAACACATCAGGCACAAGGCACCCGTGCCACAACCCTCTGCTTGTGGCAAATTTTCCCCATAAAAACCAGAAGGAGTCTATGTGCAGTGTGATCCGCCCAGGCTGCACCTCCCTCCTCTTCCACACCACCCTCATCGAACCATCGGCTGGTGCTGCTTGGGCTTCCCATTTATATTTCTCACTGAGAGGATTTCAAACTCCACCGAGCATTTTGGAGGCCAAAAGAGCCATGGCAGGTTCTTGTATCTCGTCCTGCAGCTGGATGAATGCCTGGTGCCACAATCCCCTCTGGAGAAAATGCCATCCTCGGTGCTGAAGGATGCAGGAATGCTCTGTGGATTTCAGCATGCTTGGGGATGTGCTGGGGCCATGCAACAAGTGAAGCCAACTTCCACCTCCTGAAAATAAATCTGGTGACAGCGCCACATCCAGCGAATATCTTCTGCAAGTGATGCTTGTTTTTCCATTTATTAAGATAAATGCATTGAAAACTGGCTTTTTTCTTTCCAGAAGCATAAGGGACTCCGCATATCTGAAAGGGAAGCTGCAGTCGGATCTGTGGAGGATAAGCTTGGCTGCTGCCCGGCTTTGGGTGGAAATAAAATGTGGAATAATAATACGTGCACACTGACCAGAGAGACTTCTGCAAACTCCCCTGTTGGGTGGAAGCAGGATCAGGATCACCACACAGCCAGGTGGGGCTTCCACCATCCCAGACGGGCTGTGCCAAACCTTCTGCCCTGCCCAGGGCAGGTTTTGTGTCACAGCCAGGCAAATGCAGCTGCTGCTCTGAGGTTAGTGGTGCCTCCACACCAAGGAGCGAACAAAACCACAGCAAAGCCTTCTCTAGCACTTTTCCTGGCCCATCAAAGGTGTTTTGATAGACCTTTGATAGACCTTTTCACCTCCCACAGCAAAGTGAGGACACATGGACCGTGCAAGGGCATAAAGAGGGCCTTGTTCACCAAGTGCTGTGCTGGGGAGCATCCCTTCTCTCTGGGAAGTGCTGGTATGACGCTGCATCTTTCTTGCAGCTGTGGGACAAATCCCTAAACAGGGAATAAACTCTGCAGCCAGTCAGTTTGTCTGTGTTGGTATTTAAAAGTAGCAGAGATGACCAAACTACCCTTTAGAAGCTCCTTGGCCAGCCCCTCTGCAGGAATGTTCCAAAAAGCTCCATGTTTTAGGTTGGGTGATTTTTCTTTATTTTGCAACTCAAGAGCCAAGTAGATTTTCAGCTCTGGCGTTTACATGTTATTATAATACTAACTATAATTATTAATAAAAATAGCTTTTTTAATTTCTGTATGTATTAAAAAAACCTCACCTGCACTAACACTTTACAGAGCAATTTGCATTGCAGTGAGAATCTAAAATAGAACATATTGAACTTTTAACCAAAACGGCCGTGCAGGTAAATTTAATCTGATTTTAAGAGTTGTCCTGACTACTTCACCGAAAAAAAACCCTTGTTTTCTCACTCTTCTCACCTAAAACCTCCTGGAATTATCTTGCCTGACAAAACTGAGAAGTCAACTGTTGCAATGAACCATGTTACCTGAATTTTGAGGCAGCAGCAGCCTACTGAGGGCTGGTGATGGGGGGGTCCTGCAACACCCAGATGAGGAAGCTCGTAATTTCCCCCCAGCCCTAAAGGTCTCCCTCAGGCTGCCCATGTTTTGCAACTACAGCACCTCCACCGTGGGCAGTATTTTTTGTACTAGGAAATACTAACATCTGAGAATAAGTGGGTTTTTCAATTGCAAAGCTTGAGGATTTCTGGGGCACAGTCCTGACTCTACCGTAATTAATGAAAGATTTTCATTTTCTGGACAGCACTTCTCCAGCCTACCAGGCCCATTCCATTACCCAACTTTTTTGGGTTAACCCGTGCCTCAAGATCGAGTTTAGGAAGGGCTTCTGCATAGGAGAGGAGCAACGAGAGGAGGGGAAAAAAAAAAATAAAAGCAAAGTCCAGATGCACATTTCACATGCCCTGGGATCAGTGGTGCGAGACTGCAGTTTATATAGGAAGAGTAAAATCGGATCCAGATCTGGAAACACTTTCAAAGTTCAGGGGGTCCGAGGTGAAGAGAAGTTGGGGGAGGCCTGGCTCATCAGTCCTCTCTGCCTGCCCACACTGCAGGTCAGAGATCTCTGCTACTGAGAAGAAATAAAAGCTCCCAAACTGCAAAGCCGTAAAGGGAAAGAGGAGGAGGGGGGAGAGAAAAAAGGAACACACACAATTTACTTTTAAATGGATGAATAAGGCCTCATTGTTATGAATCCCAGTTTACTTTTCCTGGTCAGGCACTTGAAATTTTATTTATGCTTAATAGACTGCGTTTGGCATGTGTAAAGATGACAGAAGCGTGAATTATGAACGACCTTCGACCTATTCAGGAAGTTGTAATAATTGCAATAATAGCGAAAACGCGCTCCCCGCGAGCTCGGCCGGGCCGTGCTGTGAAACACCCCGGCCACCCCCCTGCCCCGGCCAGCCCCACACCACCCTGCCTGCACCCCCCTCTGCTCCCTCACAGCACCCCCCCGCCGACCCAGGAGGATTTAACTGAAGTCACATTTTAGGGGGAAAAGAGGGGAAAAGTGGCGCTTTGGCTGATGAGCAAAGGCACCGGCTGCCAGGCACACATCAGCTGCGCCCCAACGAGGAGCTGCGTCCTGGTGCTCCCAAACTAAACCCTGTGCACACAAGAGCCTTGGAAAAGATCATGCATGCTCCGCTGCTGCCTGGGAAATTCAGCTCTTAGGGCAGGTGAGAGATGCTGCTCTGAGCCTGCTCGTACTTCAACGCCCAGCCCATGTATTGAACTCCCAGCTCCCACCACGGGGGAAGGCACCCAGTGATTCTGCCCTGCCCCACACGGCTGCAAAGCAGGAGGACTGAGCAGAGGATCCACTCTGCATGGGATGGAACAGAAGAGCCCAAAGGTGGATCGTTCCCCGGTGAACACCATCAGCACCCACAAAGCCCTGCACTGCTGCTCCTGCACCAGCTGGACCACGTGCCAAGGGCAAATCCATCCCAAGCCTCATTTCCTTGCCACCCTTGGAGGCTCTGGTGCTCCAGAGAGAGCGTGTCCTGAGCTGGGGCAGGAAAGTGAGTGCCTGTAGAGGCAGCCTGCACCCTGCCAACTGGCATTCACCCCTGTGCTGCTTCGGAGCAAGAGTGGAACCTGCCTGAAAAGCAAAACAAATTAAATGTCCAAAACTAATAATAAGCGTTATGTTCAAGGAGCCCCATCAAAACCAGGAATTATGGCCACCAGGAAAAGGAGAAGGACGAACAGATATATAACTTCACAACAAGCCCTAATTAAGAGTTTGAAAGGAAAAAAAAAAAAAAAAAAAAAAAAAAA